AGAGAGAGAGAGAGAGAGAGAGAGAGAGAGAGAGAGAGAGAGAGAGAGAGAGAGAGAGAAAGAGAGAGAGAGAGAGAGAGAGAGAGAGAAAGAGAGAGTAAACGAAATCGAAGTCATCATCTAAAAAAGGGAAGTGCACATTGTACTTCATCGACGCCAATTACAATTGAGAGTTGACGGAATCATCTGTCCTGTCACACGGTCGAGGCCTAGAACAAACCAAACGAACAATGCAAAAAAAAAAAAAAAAAAAAAAAGTCACTGGAGGACTCATCCACTGAATTGGACCACTACCCAATTCCCTGGTCAGCACCGCCAATGGGGGAACGCCACATCGACGACGACAGCGATGGCTACATTGATGACGGAAAGACTCTCACTTTCACGCCGTCCACATCCATGGAAGCGAAAAGGGAGCACAACAGAGGCGGCACGAAGTCTAACGCTTGGCGATGAACTTGGTTATCTCCAGCAAAGGCGTGGCACATAAGCTTGCTGACTTCGTCTGACGCTGCGTAGTGCTTTTTCTGCACTTCGACCTCCGCTTCGAGCGCCTCGCACTGCCATATGGCGATGGAGCAATGACGTTTGCTGTTGCTCTCCATCGTCGACGCCATTAGCGCCCTGTGCTTCTCCATGCATTCCGTCATTGCCTCAAAAGTTTGCTGCCTCGTGCTCTTCCTCTTGCCGAAACCGCCTGCGCCACCCGTCGTCTGCGAAGAACCTTTTGTGGACCCGTCGTCGTCGTCGTCGTGATCTGCACCACCGTCCCCGTCGCCCACAGATTCAGGATCCGTAGAAGAGGCGGACGACAGACGCACACCACCCTGAGCACCGGTGTCGACGACGTTCTTCGGGTTTATGGTGTGGTTCTTGGCGGTCGACCCCAGTATCTCGTCGTAAACCGCACGATCCATATTGAAACTGAAGCCCTTCGACATCCTGTCCTTCCCAGACAATTGGAAGAAGTCCTGTTTCTCGGAAAGTCCTTGGAAATGATGCACCTTCTTGAACTGCTGCATCAGATTGTCCGACTTCTTCCCGCACCAATCTGCCTCTCTGTCGACGCCCACCTTCTTCCACCTCGTCACCACATCCAGCCACTTCCATTCTCACGGCTTCATCCGAGCGTACGCGTGACCCATCCCATGCAGATGCGCATCCTGATCACGTTTAGCCCGGATGAGCGCTATAATGTCGTCAAGGGACTAGAAGTGACGACCTCCTTCCCCATCGACGTCACCTTCAGCATCGCCACCCTTGCCCGCTGCCCTTTTGCCCCGACGACCATTGCCAACACACGACTTCGTCTTCCCGCCCCTCCCTTCCATAGCGGCCGCCTGCTTCGACGACGAAATGTGGTCTGCGTCGTCCTCCCCACCTTCAGCGTCGTTGTCGTTCCAGTCGTCGTCGTGCGCGTCCGCCACTGCTTCCTCGCCGTCGTGTCCGTCTTCCCCAACACTCAATCGCTGCACCCCTTGAGTTATGGACTCCTCCCGCCCCGACCGCATCAACCGTCGTTGTTCTGCCCACACCTCCCTCCCGTCACGTGCGCCACCAACATCAGCGATGCCACACGTCGTCTCCCCGCACTCGCCAAGACGGCGGCCTACACTCGAACTGGCGGACAGGGGAGACGGAGACTGCATCAAGTGGGGGTGAGCGGAGGCACCCCTACACACAGACGGCGACTGAAATTGCTGTCTTGGAGGATCCTTGTTGTTCCCCGAAGCCTCCCGCAGCGGCGCTGGAGACCTGGATGTTCGTAGAACAGCCGTCACGTCGTCGCCATCATCGTCGAGATGGGGGGTTACGACGACCGTTCGAGAGACGGCTGCCAACCTCCCACTACCAAGTCCAAACGAGAGATTCACGCCGCCATCGCCATCGTGGTCGCTGAGCCCCTACTGGAGGAGTTCGGTATAGGAATGCCCATTACCGCCCTCACGGCTTCCAAACAGCTCTGTAGCCGCCCACTCCTGGGTGGATCCGCTTCCCAGTGGCACGGTTCGTGACCGTCTATCATCCGCCTCCTCGTTGGACGTGTCTGGCAGAGGTTGCAAGTGCGGTGGCAGGTGCGCGTACCCAGACTGCTCGGACGGCCTTGAACTATTCGACGGGTTGTGCCCAGACCGCCGCCCACCGTGCTCCCCTGCCGACCCGCTGATCGCCTGCCGGCCCTCCATCCTGGCGTCGTTCTTCAAAGACCTCCTTCTGCGGCCACGTCGCGGAACGCTGTCGAGGATGCACACGTGGAAGACAACTAGGAGGAGGAGCAATAGGACGACCAGCACCAGCAGCGGCAGCCTCCGAAAGACGTCAGCCATGAAAGGCACGTGGATGATGGTGGCAGCTAGAAGACAACGGGGGATCTATCACGTAACGGCGAGGGACAGTGCTGCAAACGACAAAAGCAGGGTAACACATTCCGTTTGTGAAAACAGTGCGCAATCACCCAGGCGGGGGACGGTTGAAATATTCGAATATGCCAACCGTTGGGCGCCTTCCCGCTCGGGGCCAAGGGCAGCGACGCAATACAGCCGCTTTTCGACGTCGCGGAGGCCAGCAGGCCGCAAAAGGGGACCGTTGCCGGACTACTCCATGACGCCAACCATTGTCGATCGAAGATGTCCGTCCACGGGCGCCAGGAACAGCAATGGTACAAACGGCCGTCGAAAAATATCGTCGAGAGAGATGCCGACGGCGTCCTGATTCTTCCGGATGCTCGACCTCCGAGGGACCTCGGGAGGTCCCTTGGGAAACGCTTCCAAATGGCCATAGCCCGAGGAATCCCCGAGGAATCCCCGAGGAATTGTTTGCACATTTTTTTTCCAATTTGTTCCCCAAGGATAAGTGGAACGATCGTTTCCTCGGGGGATTTACGCGCCCGAGAAGTGTCGAACGAGCCCCTGTACATCTCAAAAAGTTTTAAGATCTACAACCGTATATATATATATATATAGATATATATGTATATTGCGTATTTTTTACCCGAGAAAAAAATATCCCCGCGCCCGCTTAAACCCCGCTCAAGGCCCTTTGAGCGCGGGATTGAGCGGCCCTCAAAAACTTCAGTGCCAACCGCGCACTTAATCAATGCGTAGTTTCATTGACATGGAGGCAATACAACCATATGAAGTTATATTGTACTATTTCTGGGACCTTCCCATCTGTGGAAGGTTACGAGTCCCTACGATAACACCCTGCACGATCCCCACCCTTTACGCTCAATACCTTGCTTCTTTCCCCCGACCCAATCATGGCGCTCACCGAATCGTTCATTTCGTCGACCTCAATGACGAAGCTTCTGATTACCTTCTCGCGCTTCTGCCAAAATGGCCCCGGTTCCCTCCCTCTCCCCTCCTCATTAATTACAACTGAGCGGAGCATCAATAAGTCTGCGAGCTAGATTCAAATGATGCCATCTGGAAGACAACAAAACACTCCAGGACCTGGATAATGCACGATTATCGGCGAGGTGTGACGACAAACTTCACAAGGAAAATTGAAGTTTGTGCCAACACGTACTTCTCTATGCTCGCTGATGTAGCTCATGTGCTTGTTGATACGCTGGGTTCCTCTCTCTCCTTCCCAGGGCCTCTCTTTTTCATGTAAATACGCTGGACTTACGTGCATCCAATCAGGAAATCGCATAATTTTGGAACCCCTGAACGTCACATATGTGACGTACCAGCTTCCGTACCCAAACGATCTTCTGGAGCCCTGAGTTTTTATTGTTCCAACTTTTCTGATCTCTCTTGGGCTTTGGGGGTACCCCTCTTTGCTGGTATCACCTTTGCGCACGGAATCGCAGGCCAACCAGACCTCTCACATCTAAGGCAATGTTTCTTTTGGACTTCTTGGCAATTTTTTTTCGGCAATCCATGAATATGCATAGGAATGATGAGTGCCTTAGCGAGCGCGCTATGAATTTTTGTTCGACAGTTGGGAACTCCGGAAATTACGGGCGCTGCTTGTCCTTTCTTGCAAGTGGATGTTCCCACACCCGTCCCTGAAAGACATGTACACTTTACGTAGGAAGCTAGATAGACGTAGGATTTTCCCTCATTCAATTCTGCGCGCTGATATTGCTTTCAAATTTTCCAATCTTGAATTAGTTTTAGAACTAGGATCAACGAAACATAACTATTTCGTTTCCTTTTTCTTTTATGCACCAGCGCCATGCATGCAAGTTTTTCCCGCTTTCCGCTACGACTCATGTCGTGTTCACCCTTCTCCTCTTCGCGCCTTCCCTCCTTCACCCGTAACTATTTTCCATCACCTCTCCCTCCACGTTTCTTTCCCGCTTCTCGTCTGAATCTTGGTCTTGCTCCACGCTACTCAGAGTCTTCACGCTCTCCTCCGTTCAACCTTTATCCCCACACAGGAACTCCCCCATCGATCCCCCCCCTCCCCCCCCAAGAGTATTCAAGCCACCAGACGGCGTCATGTAGGGAGGATACTCCCCGCACACTGTGGTCTGATTGGTTGCGAAGGAACTCACAGGGACCAATATGGTTTTTCCCGAGCGATTAACTCAAACACTCTCTTCGCCCCCTCCTATCTTCACCCAGTCTTCCACATTTTTTATTCCCCTCTACGCATTGCCAACTATAAACCTGCAAGCGCGTCCAAAAATATCTCTCTCAACCCATCTGCCAGCTTCAGGGAAGTTATGGCTCGGTGATGCGCAAGTAGCGAGTCAAAAACTCCTGACGACCTGACTACAGTGTATGCAAGGTTGTGCGTCGGGTGGCCACGACGAACTATGGGATCTGGACAAGTTCATGCAAAAGCTGATTTGGTGGGGTGATGATCGCTGTGGTATGGAGGATGGTATTTGGTGGTCGGGATCGTCAGTACCTGAGTAAGAAGGGTGTCTGTGTACGAGTGGTTGCATGACCAAGGGCCATTATTTGAGAGCAGAAGGTCGGTGCGCCTTGATTTTCGGATTCTTCTTCTTTTGGTTATTTAAAGCTAAGTCGACGGCGAATAGCCAGTTGTTGTCCCCCCCTCCCTCAAGCTTGTTTGTATGATCAGAGCTCTTTCTCTCTCTCTCTCTCT